TTTTTTTTGTGTTTTTTTTTTTTTTTTTTTTTTTTTTTTTTTTTTTTTTTTTTTTTTTTTTTTTTTTTTTTTTTTGCTTGAATCACCTTTATTGTCTCTTGTACCATTTCCTAATATTCATAAATATTGATACAGGGCCTGTATCATACAGGTATACATCGTTAGGTGAAATGCACAAATTTAACTAATCTTTATGTTTAAAACAGATGCAAGATTGAAGAAATTTTTTCTTCTTTATCTGGTCCATGTTTGAATCCTGTATATGGTTTGTCTAAAAAGACTGGCATAATCATTTTCGGAATGGAATTTTTATCAAATCACATTGAAGATCTAAATGTTTGTGATTGGTCGAAGAATCAATCAAAAATCTTATTTTTACATATCATTAAGTTCTAATCTTGATATAATAAAATATAACACACTAAACGAAAATATTCGAAATATTAGATAATTAATACGCAATATACTCCGTGACAATAACCACGTGAACGATATATGAGTAGAAGTATAAATGTATTCCTATACTCCAGACAATAAACTTTATACATATTCTTTGCATTTAACAATCCCTATTTTGAGAAATACATAAATGTGCACTAGTGGTAGGATCCGTTTAAGACCTATCCGGATACCCGGATAGGTACTGTACTTATGATTTTTTTCGGATAAACGGATATCCTCAGATATCCGTTCAATGGTCGTTGCATATCATCAGTTAAATCATAAACTTTTATTTTAGTAAGTAAATCTCAAAAAAAGTAACCTTAAAGAAAAGAATATATTGCGTATCATATTAAAAGGACAGACCTATATCATCAAAATTGAGATAAATATTGGCAATTAAAGTTCGATCGGGCAAAAAATATTAAAATGACAATTTATCGCTCAATTTTGATGGTATATATAGGTCTGTGCTTCTTATAGTAGATGCAATTAATTTTTATCTTTGAGGTTACTTAGTACCGTTTTTGACATTCACTTACAATATAAAAAGTTTATATGTAGCAACGATCGGCGATTCTGTATACATATAAAATTTTTTATTTTGTAAGTGAATGACAAAAAACGGTTCTAAGTAACTTCAAGGTAAGAATGAATTACGTATTATATTTAAAGGAAAGACGTATAACTTCAAATGAGCGAAGAATTGTCATATAATTTTTTTCGCCCGTTCGAAATTTAACGGCTAATAGTTCTCAATTTTGAAGATATAAATCTGTTATTTTAATATTATACGAAAATCATTCTTATCTCTTTAAGGTTACATAGTACCGTTTTTGGCATTTACTTATTAAAGTAAAATGTTTTATATGTAGTAACCATCGATGATTATTTCCGATTCTTATATCGCGCGAAATATCCACGGATATATATACAGATAAGTACTGATAATCACTGACACGTTCGCGGATAAGCAGATATCCGGATCGCGCCACTAATGTGCACATAGAACGTCGCACGACATATCAAGAAATCAATAAATTCGATTATCAATTTCATCAAATTTCAACAAACATTTCAAACAATGACAAGTTTTTATCCTAATCCTACTAATCCAATGGTATCTCTTAGTCGGGAAGGTCCATTATTCATATTAACTATGAAAAATGGGGAAAATCGATTCACCACTACATTTGTTAATGCATTATTTTTAGCTCTAGATAATATCGAACAAATTCGTGAAGTCGAAGATGGTCAACCAGCAGCACTTATAACTGTAGGAGAAGGAAAATTTTTTAGTAATGGATTAGATTTGGAACATGCCTTAAGTACACCAGGATTTTTTGATGATTATTATTTAAAATTATTGGTTAGAATTCTTACATTTCCAATCCCCACGGTGGCTGCTTTAAATGGACATTCATTCGCTGGAGGATGTATGTTAGCTTTGGCACATGGTATGTAATGTTTTATGATATTTTGATTTTTTTAATTTTTTTTTTTTTTTTTAAAAAAAAAATTTTTTAATTATATTTTTTTTTCAAAAAAAAAATATAGATTATCGAGTTATGCGAAGTGATAAAGGATATATTTGCATGGTATTTGTTAAATTAATTTATTTTTTATTTTATTACTTTATTACTTTTATTATTTTATATATTTCATATTTTATTTTATTTTTATTTTTGATCTTTAATTTATTTTTTTTTTTCTTACCAGAATGAAGTAGATATTCCATCACCATTACATCCTGGAATGGCGGCGATAGTTAGAATCAAAATGTTACCCAAAACCTATAGAAATTGCGTATTACAAGGCCATAAATTTACGGCAAAAGAAGCATTAGAAAATCAATTGGTAGATATAATTGTGGAAGGGGAAAAAGGAGTATTATCTGAAGCCAAAGAACTTGGAAAAAAATGGGCAGATAAAGCAAAAGCCGGAGCTATTTATGGATCATTAAAAAGAGAAATGTATATAGAAGGAATTAATAATTTGGAAATTAAAGGCTGGCGTCCTAAATTGTAATTTTCTTTCATTTATTGTTTATTTTTTATATCAATAATATGTATTTTTAAATTTTTTTACAATTTTTTGCACAAGTCGCGCATTTATTTATTATTATTTATTATTTTTACTAATTATTATAATTATTATTTATTAGATAACTATTAATTCTAATTATTATTATTATTGTAAAAATTCATTCATTTATTAAAAAGTATGGAATAAACTGTTTTTACTTTTTCTATCTATATATCTCTCTCTCCCCCTCTCTCTCTCCATCTAAGAAAAGCAATAAATAAAATATAAAAAAAAAAAAAAAGTAAATTCAGATTATATTTATTATTATTCAGATTTTATTGCCAGAGAAATTATGCCAATATAAATTATAATTAAAAAAGATAAAACGTGTTGTGAAATTACGAAAAATAATGCGATAATATTATTTAAAAAAAATGCGAAATAAAATTATGCGATAAAAGAAATTATTAAAAAATGCTCGAAATATAATTAAAAACAATGCATATGTGACGAATGTATATGAAGAATAATATAAGTATGATGGTAATATAATATCTATACATTTTAATATCGATTGAGTGATTTTTTTTTTTTCGAAGACAATAATGGTGTATATGGTGTCTGGGGGAGTTTTATTTTTTGTTATTAACGAAATTTTTTTTTTTTTTTTTTTTTTTTTTGTTATATATATATTTTTTTTTCTATTAGCGTTCTCTTTGTTTTTTTTTCTTCGTTTTCTTCATTTTCATTCATTTTTTCTACATGTTCTCTTCATTTTCTTCACACTCAGAATATGTAAGAATATATATAAGAAACATATATCTTGTAAAATTCTGTTGTTTCTTCTAACCTCAATTTGTTTTCTATTGATTTTTTAAAATATATATATATACATAATATGAAGGTTGAAATAAGATTGATATAAAGAAGATAAAATAGCATCTAACCCAAAGAAAAAAAGTAATAAATGATAACATATATATATATATATCTAAATTTCATATAAAATTCTTATTAAATATCGATTTTCTCAAAGAAGGTGAAAATAATAACATCGTCATGATGAAAATTTATTTTGTGGGGCAATGGAAAAGACTAATTATAAAAAAAAAAAAATATCAAAGTAAATAAGAATAATAAGAAAGATTTTTTTGCTAAAATACTAAATTAACATATACATATACGTGTGTGATGTAAATAAAGACAAGATTTTGGACAAGAACGATCGAAATTTAAAGGAACTTTTTTTTTGTATATAGATATATATAGATATATAATTATAATCAAATCAAGTTATAAAAAAAAGGATAATAATTGTGGGAATGGTTTGTTATATATATAGGTGAGAAATGCATAGAAAATAAAAAAAAGTAAAAAGAAGAATAATAAAAGAAGATTAAAAGAAGAAAGAATAAAGAAAAGTAAAAGAATAAAAGAAAAGTTCAAGAATAAAAGTAAAAAACAATAAAAGTAAGAGAATAAAAGAAGAAGGAATAAAATTATTAGTAATGAAAATTCTAAAAAATAATGATTGTACCATTTATTGTCTTCATCTAAATTTTTTTAATAATAATATAATAATAATAATAATGATAATAAAATATAATAAAATTATTTATAAGTGGATAACTTTGAATAGTAATAATTGATCAACAGTAACTTGGAGTATTCGAAGTGAAGATTTTGAGTAAATTTTGAATTGATCAGTATTTTCATTAAAGAGGTCATCCAAATAAAAGAATGACAACATTCCAATATTTCATTCCAACTATTACTATTGCTGTTATTATATTATATTATATTATATTGTTATTATATATTGTTATTATATTGTTATTACTATTTATTCTATTATTATATTGTTATTGTTATTATTTTGTAAAAAAAAATTTTCAATATTCCTTTTTGTTCTTTATTATTTCATAGCATACTTGTATGATATGTCTATCCAAAAAGAGGAATAATGAATAAAGAAGAAAGAAAGAAAGAAAGAAAGAAAGAAGGAAGGAAGGAAGGAAGGATATATTGAAAGAATAAATCATCATTTACCACAATATTATTATGTATATATATATATATTTTTGCACTACTACTGGTGGTCTATTATCTATTAGCAGTAGTAGTAGTGGTCTATTATAATAATAGTCTATATTGTAGTGGTAATAATAACAATAATAATAAAGAAGAAAATATGACATAATAAAGGACATGCTGACACGTGAACGACACAAATTAATTTGTTGTCGAAAAAAAAAAAGAAGATAAATCTAATCCAAATACGCATCAAACAAATGATTTTTCAATTTCTAAAGTTATTATTATTGTTATTGCTGTTGTTGTGGTGGTGGTGATTATTATTATTATTATTATTATTATTAACATTCATTTTAACACCTTCAACTTCACCATCATATCGAATTTTTTTTACAGGTCTACCCATACGATGTACTCTTAAATGTCTTCTCATATTACTTTGAACTGAAAATTTTCTTCCACAACCGGGTTCAGTACAAACAAAAGGTTTTTCCCCAGTATGAGAATAAGTATGAATTCGAAGTGAACTTGGACGAGAGAATCTTTTTGAACAATAAGGACATTGATATCTATTATTACTATTATTATTATTGCTGTTGTTGTTGTTATTGTTATTAGTGTTGTTAGTGTTGTTAGTATTATTAGTGTTATTAATGTTGTTAGTGTTATTAGTGTTGTTAGCGTTGTTAGTGTTCTTATTACTACTACTACTTGATGATGTCGAAGGAGATGATCCAGAAGATGATGTAATTGGTGATGTAGATGGTAATGAAGGTAAAGGTAGAGGTGAGGAAGAGTTTTCACGTTTGATTTCAAGAGGTGATAAAGAATGCTCCCGTTTAATTTGTTTAATTTCAATAGATGGTAAAGGATTTTCACATTTAATTTCAATAGGTGGTAAAGTATTATTAGAAGTATTGATATCAATATTAGGGATGATTTGTGGTGATTTTTGTGATTGTTTTTCAAAAGGTGTAAAGACAGAAAATTGTTGATGAAGAGATGGTTGTTGAATAGGTGGAGGGAGAGAAGAAGTTGTAATATTTTGATAAGCAGGGGTCATATAATAATGATGATCATTTTCTTCTTCTTGTGATGATCTTAATTGTGGCGGTGTTCGTGAAGTTTTTGTTCCATAACCTTCAAATGATATTTCCGATTTTATAGTATCAGGAGATTCTGGAGGTGAAAGTAAAGAATGAATATTACTAAAATGTCCATGATGATGAGGTGGATGAGGTGGATGAGATGAAGGTGAAGTAATAGCCGCAGTAGAAGTAGTTGTTGTAGTAGTAGTAGTGGTATTGGTAGTAGGAGGAAGAGAATAATGTGTTATATCTTGATGATTATTATGATAATAAGAATAATCTCTCGAGGAAGAGATAGAATTATTATTATTATTGTTATAAATGGGAATAAGTGGTCCAAAAGTTGAGGCAAGAGAAGGAAGACGCATATTTGAAGAAATATTATTATTTCTCGTCCAGTTCTGATAGATGTGATTTTGATTTTTTAGATCCTGATCAGAAAGTTGATCTACAATTTATTTATTATAAAAAAAAAAATATATAAGGGTAAATAAATAAATAAATGATATTCAACCACGTGTGTGCATGGGGATTTAATGATCATCAAACAAAGATCTACTCATATGCAATCGATCCCTTCTTTTTTAGATATTTATATTATAAATTACTTACCATAGTCTGTTGGTGGATCCAATAAAAATCGGATCGATGGAAGAGCTTTTGTGTGCATTTTTTTTTTGGTTGAAATATTACTAATTATTATTATTTTATTATTCCTATTATTCCTATTATTATTATTATTATTATTATTGGTTATTATAATAAAGATTCCTTTGATATCTATAGAAATCTTGTTTCTTTCTAAATTTATATTTATATGAAAATATATAGTTTTGATTGATCGTTTAATTGGTTAGTTGTTCAGGAAAAAACGGTAAAAATAATAATCAATAAATAATAAAAAATGTGAAAATAATAATAAAAAAATAATGGGATAATCTTTCTATTGTTCACACGAAAATCTCACGAATAAATTTATATAAAAAAAATTATCTCTGTGTAAAGTAATAATATACAAAAAAAATAAAAGGTAACTATTTTCTGATAATTTTTATACACAATATATATTTTGATTTAACAATATATACAGTATATACGATATAAAAAAAACGATTTAACGATATAAGAAATCCAGGAAACGATACGGTAAAAATAAAAAGACGATAAAATATATATATAAAAAGGGATAAAACGAAAAAAAGGAAAAAATATATAAAATTACACTTGAGCTGAGATTTGAGTTAAGAAAGCTAATAAAACAAGACAAGAAGAAAGAATAAAGAATATAAAATAAAGAAAAAAATTTGAAAAGTTGAGTGCTCAATACACCAACATTTTGGATAATAAATAGTAAAAGTCCAGCTATTTATTGGTTTTTTTTTTTTTGGAGAATTAATTGGAATTAATTTAGGTTGGATCGATAAATTTCAGAAATTTAAACCCACCTGTTTACCATAAGATAAAATTTTGAAAATCACGATTAAAGTAATTTACAAAATTCCCCAATTTTTTTTTTTTTATCAATATGTAATATAAAAAATATACTAAATATGTTCTAATCCATTATACTTTACTTTTTTTAATATAAAATAATTATTATCTATTTTTATTCATTTTAAGAATTCAATATGTGTACATTTAAAATAATATAAATAACTTTAAATTTGTTTTTATTTTTTTTGGTTTTTTTTTTTTTTATCATCGGCATCACATCATTTTAACATCAATACATATCATATCACATCATCACACCATAAAGATTGTCAAAGCATGGATAACATGTGGATTTAATATTTTAAAATATTTTTACTAAAAAAAGATTTTTAATTGAACCTTATTTTATTACACGTGTGGGAGATCTAAAATTTAAATTTATAATTTATAAAAATGATCTTCCGTAAATACACGTGTGGAGATCTAAAATAAATATAAATTATATAAATTTTTTTAGATTATATAAATATAAATTATATAAAATTTATAATGGAACAACAACGTTGGAATAAAGCAATGCAAGAGTTAAGTGGGAATAACCAAAGTATAGAAGGACTAATAAACGTGACTAAGGTTAATAAATAATAAAATAAAGAAACAATAAAACTAATATAAAATAGATAATATAAAATTATAATAATTATTATTAAATAAAATTTTATTTATTTATTTATTTATTTATTCAATAGTCCTGGTTAGTAGTCACAAGTTGGTTAGATCCCAAACGTATTAATTCTCGAACCGAGAAAGAGGGTATTTTTAATAACATAATAACAATTAATGAACATTAATTTTTAAAGTTTAATAATAACAATAATAATATAATAAATGAATAATCCGCAGTACCATCAGAGGTTAATAAAAGTTTAGAAAACCTTCGTCACACACCATTAGCAAAGAGAATAGTGGAATGGTATCTCGGTATTTGTTTATTTGTTTACTTAATTTTTAATTTAATTTAATTTATTTTATTTTAATTTATTTTATTAATCTGATTAAAAATAACAAATGTATCTATTTTATATAATAAAAAGATGTGGTAAACAAGAATATCATTGAAAATTTTGATATAAGATTAAAAGATTGGCGTGAAGATTGGGTGGCACGTAATTATTTTTTTCTTAATACATACACAAAATATATATATTTATATTTTTTCTTAATAATAATTATAAATATTAAATATAGAAATATCATAATAATCATTATAATAATGATGGGGGTAATGATGATCATAATGATAATAATGATGATTCAAAAAGGGAACAAGAATTAGAGAATTGGATTAGTGAATCTTATTCAAAGATTATTCATGATATTTATTTACATTATAAAAATTGTGAAAGACCATTCCTATTTATGAATGCGAGGTAAATAATTATATAATATTTATTTGTAATTTCTAATAATTTCTAATAATTTTTAAATAATAATAATATATTATAACTTATAATATAAATAATAATCTAAAGTGAAGAAACAATGCAACAATTTCAAACTCACTATCAAATCAATTTATATTCATCACTAAGTGGAAAATCTCAACCATATTCAGCAATTCCATCAATATTTAAAGAGATAACAAAATTATTTTATAATTATCAATTTAATAAATTTGATTATTTTCTATGTAATTATATTAATAATTATTTATTATCATCTTCATCTTCTTCATCTTCTTCATCTTCTTCTTCTTCATCGGCAATTATAAAATCTTTATTGATTAAAATTAACAAATATCCTAATAAGATTTTGACATCTGAAGATTTATTTGCTTGGAAATCAATGGATGATATAAATTATATTTTTATTAAACAAGAAAATGATTTTTATTTATGTGAAGAGTTTTCTTCCTTTTCTGCTATGGACATTGATGATAATTATAATGATGATGATGATGATGATGATGATGATGATGATGATGATGGTGAGAATAATTATGATAAAGATTCACAAAGAGAAAATCATTTAATTCAAAAAAACATAATAATAAGTGAAGATATCAAAGAAGAAGGCATAATAATAGAATCAACAACAACAACATCATTACAATATGGAGAAAAAGAAATAATTAATCATATAAAGAATTTTAACAATATATGTGAAGAAATGCATACTTTAAAATTAATCCAACGTACTAAAGATAAAATAGAAGAAATGTTATGTGAAAGAATAGAACAAAAAATTTTAAATACTTGTAAAGGAAATTTTAACAAACCAATGTTAAGATATACATCAAAATGGTTATATTCAATTATATATCCTTGGTTATATATTATTCTTTCTTCTGACACTTCTTCATTGGAATCATTAATTGAAGGTAATTATATTATTTATTTATTTATTTATTTATTTATTTATTTATTTATTTATTTATTTATTTATTTATTTATTTATTTATTTATT